ATCGAGAAGAAAGCCCCTCTCTTTCTTCCCGATATCTGCCAGGTTCACCCACAGATGTCTCTCCGTTACCACCATCGCCGCCATAGACCTGCCCATGGCGGAAGCGGCCTGTTTAGTAGCACGGAGAGCAAGATCTGTGGTGCGGTGCAGCACAGCTACCTGATCAGGAGAAAGGCCCTCGCCTTTATCCAGGTCTTTCAACAGATAAGCCTGATACGCCTGGAGCACCGCCATAGTGTGCAACGAAGCCACAGCCTGGCCTGCTGCTGCGTATGCCCTGCCATTTAAGCGCGGTGTATCCTGGAGGGGCTTAGATGGCAAGGAGGGAGTATTAAGGGAGGATGTCTTGCCCAAAGAGAGATAGCTAGCCAGTGTCTCTTCTACAGGGGGCATCCTCTCATAGCCGTTTTCACGCATCGCCTCGATGTTGGCATAACTCGTATGCTGGAATTGATAAATGCGAGAAGAAAACGGCCTCTTCCATTCCTTCTCTATTTCAGTATGCAAATCAGGAAGGAATGGAAGGCTCACCTGAGCTGGACGGTTATGGTCACAAAGATAACGCTCATCGAGACGACCCCGCAGCGCCACTTTCTTGGCCCGCTTCCACGGCAAGTCTAGCCTCGCCGTGGCACGATCCATAACTTCCAACAGCTCACCATACGCAGGGCAGGAGGATTGGGAAGGCTCAGCCTCATCGCCGTCCTCAGACATCTCCTGCTCTTCCTGGGCTGGACCCAGCAGAGCACTGGCCCCCGGATCAGATGATGTCAAAGAGATAACATAATCCTCCATCGGCTCTCTCTCGTCCGCAGCCAACGAGCACGAGAAGGAAAGCCCCTCCCTAAACTCATCAGCCATGTCCGCCTGCGAACCCCATGAGCTCATTCTCCTCCGTGCCTCAGCAGCGGCGAGTCCTGAACCATGAGGAGCAGATGGCTGCCCCTCTTTCCTCGAAAAAAGAGACAAATGAGAGCTGAGCTTTTTCATCGAAAAACGCTCACAATGCATGCAAATCGCCCCCTCAAGGACGTCGCGTGCGTGCTCCTCGCCCAAACACAAAACACAGAGATCGTGTGTGTCATCAGGTGTCAAATAGCGACGACCCGGATGCACACACCCTCTAAACGCTCTGCTAGTGCTCGCCATAATAATAGATAGTAGATCGCTCTTACCACGTTCAAATGCACACTTCAAACAAAACAGTCAATGAAGATGAAGAAGAGGATGACATGTTCTCCCGGCGCCTATTTATACTATAGTCGCAACGGTAGTGACGTCATGGGCTATCGCCGGCCAGCGTGTTGTTGGTGTTTTTTCAATGTATGCTTCAGACACGGGTCACGACGAGGCATTCCCCATAGCGACCCCTAGAGGACGCAGTTCGAAGTTCCCTTGAAAGGGAACTAAAATTTTTATATTTTTTCAGAAATCAAGACTCGATATCTTAAGTAATTTTGCTTCTCAAATAAATGCATCTTGATTCAAGAATGTTTAGATATTTACACTAGAAAACAAGACAACATACTAAGAAAATAATTTTTTGCAGTGAAGTCACTTAAAGACAAGGTTTTTCCCATGACTCCATCCTACAGCATTTCACCTGGTCTACTTTAATATTCTGAGAGTATCACCAAGTATCGAGTAACTAGTATCAGTGTTCTTTCCCTAATAATTGTGGCTAAATGGCTTGAATTTACTAATCCTGAATTTCTAAACAAACTGTCTACCTTGGCACAATGTTTTGTCCCCCTCCACCTCTCATCCCCACCTCTGATTTACATGCATCCTGAATTTTGAACATTTCGTTCTGCTCAGTCATTCAGTACATCAGAATGAAATCTGACATTAGGTGAACATTTGCCTCGGCAAGATCTCTAATAAGCACATAGATTGATCTTCAGCTGATTAGCTGATAAACTAATATTATGCACAAAAATAATAAATGAGCATCTGCCTGTTCCATGTTAGCCCTGCCATTCCATATTTAGCCACACTGATTTAAAGTATGTTTTAAAGAATCTTCAACCAGCTTTTTATTGTTATAAAATTAGTGGTATACTGAATGTAAATAAACAATGTGTACTCTTTCTCCATGTTACCCGCATCCAGATATCCCATTTATTTATTTGTCAGCAGAAGTCCGCCGGATGACACTAAACACGTCATTTAGTATCATCCGGAGGACTTTTGGCAGCTCCAGGACTGTTAAAACTACACATTGCTCTTTAGCATTTTTGTATTCCTGCTCATAGACAATCAGATCGACAGAGGAGCAGCACCAAAAGTGAATTATGGTTCTTTGGTGGTTGTGGGGCCCACCATCTTTTAGTTGATATCCGGGGGCTTGCAGCAACAGAGTGGGAGAGTTTGGTCCCAGCATAAACCAGTTCCTCCATTTTCTGTGAGAAGCTTAGAAGTGGAGATGCTGGAGAGAGGGATAATGTGTCTGGTGAGCGGGGCTGTTGCTCTGGTGTTTCCGGAGGCTGAAATATGTTGTCCTGGCTTTTTTCCAGAAAGTCACCCTTAGATGCTGATCCGGCGTGTGTGTGTGTGTGTGTGTACCTGGTATTCCCATCATTATGAGAACCAAATGTCCTCATAAGGATAGTAATACCACTTAATTTTGACCTTGTGGGGACATTTTTTTTGGTCAACACTGGCATGTATATTACCATGCTAAAACTCTCCAAGAGGTGTCATGACAGAGCTGTAAAAACATGTTAGTTCCTGTTGCTCGGAGTGGTGCACTTATGAATAGGGTTACCACCCGTCCCTTAAAATACTGAATCGTCCCTCTCAAATCAATACGGGACGCGGTTTGTCCCGTATTTTACAAAGGCCAATACAAAGTTGAATCAACAAATAAGTATTTTGCACCATTTATAATACTAATAGCAATTATAATGAAATCAATTTCATATTAGAGAAGCTCATTTGCGCGTGATTGCATTTAGGCGTCTTTTTTCCATAGCGACGGAGTGTCCAGAATGTGAGCTGTTAAAGCAGCATGCGCGGATTAAACATGTAGAGCTCAAATCTGCCCTTTGAACACAAGACTCTCCAGATGTAGGGCTGAATGGGAAAGTTATATCAATGGGTCTGTCCAGTAACTATTGATGAACGTGCAGTTTGCAGAGAAGCTTTTTAGTTGCTCACTGTGGACTGTCTGACGTAAATGTATAGTTCACCCAAAAATATATATTTTTTTCATTTTCAAATCATTTACACACCCACAAGTTTTTCCAAACCTGTAACAATTTATTTCGTCTGTTGAACATAAAAGAAGATACTTTGAAGAATGTGGGTAGCCAAACAGTTTCTGGTCCCCAATGAATCTATAGTGTATTTTTTCTCTACTATGGGAGTTACTGAGGACCAGCAGCTGTTTAATTGCCCACATTCTTCAAAGTATCTTCTTTTGTGTTCAACAGAAAAAATAACTTTAGAAAAAGGTTTAGAAAAACTTTGGTAAATTATGACAGAATTTTCATTTTTTGGGGGATGAACCATACCTTTAAAGTGACAGACACATCCATGCTTCTAAAGGTATAGGCCTATTGTTTTATTGAAATTGAAATTATTTTGCCTCGCTGAAGGTGGCAACCCTACTTATGAATGACTGAACTTTAAGTCTTCCAGGTGTTTCAAAGAGTACATTTAAATCCCTCTTAAAGAGTTCTGACTTTTAGAATATCATTCATCCCCACATGAATAATAACCCCATTTGCAGTCTTCTGCTTCATCAGAATGTTCTGAAGTTCCCTATTCACATTAGAAATTTACTATTTTGTGGGAAGCCCTGCTACTAATGTTTCTGGTTATGGAGTCTCCCATTACCCTATTTAGTGGTTGTTACAACGGGGGACATTCAGGCAGGCAAAGGAGCAGACTGGGAAGTGGATCCAAGTGAGGACTGATTTATTAAAGAAAACAACAAGATGAGACAACATAAAGATGGGAACACGGAACAGGAGAAAACACAAAAAAATACAAGGTAAAAACATGCAAAAACCAACTACCTAACTAGAGACAAGCAGGGCTATATATGCTGAGCAGAACCAAAGAACTAATAAGTTACTATGAAAACTAACAAGGAGATGGGTGTGGTCCAATGAGTGTCCATGATAACTAACAAGAGACCTGGGGCCCGTTCTTTGTACGTCGCTAACTCAGTTAGCTGGATTTGATTGTTGATGATTTGGCTTGATCTTGGACTGTTTGGTTCTTCGAAGCTCATCCCGGAGTTACTGTCATAGCAACAGGTCCGTAAACTTAAACCTGCTCAGGAGCAGCTTATTTCATGTAAACAGGATTAGATTGCATCTTCTTAAGCAGAATTGATACTTAAAATCTGTCCTCTACCACCGCTACTTTATTACAAGAGTACCCTACTAATCCAGGGACAATAAATTAAAATAATAATCTGTATTTTATGGCAACAATCTGCAGAAAAACGGTAATTTACTAGCAACCCTGCTGCAGTAGATTACCATAAAATTAAGAAAAAAACAGTAATAATAAAATAAAATAAAAGTTATACAAAGTCATGAACTGATAAGGAGAATGAATCTGAAACTGAACTGTATTGATGTGTTTTCTGTTAGTTGAATTCATTAGTTTGGTGCTGAAGAGTAGAGCCTGTGCTTCAGTACCACTGATGTTCTGCTGCATGTGGCTTTATTTAAAGGCAGTGACTGTGGAGTTGCTGACATACTAATGATCTCTTTACTAAGTGCTTTAACACACACGTGTGCTATCGCTAGCTCACGACGAACTGCAAAGATCTGAGCAAAAGTTCTGTTTTTCTCTGGAAGAGTCAAGGATGTGATCTGTCCTTCCGCTGGCTCCTTGAGAATGACATGAGCTCCTCTTCATTTTGATCAATTTCACAGAAAACAAGACTTCTTATCTGGCATTGTGCTTCTCGAGTATGTATCTCTTTTTTTCCTTTCTAAAGGCTTTAGACATCTGCACTGGAAAACGAGAAAATGCTGTAGAAGAGCTTTACCTTTAGAAGTAACTGTCTGCAGTATCTGTATCATGAATGCAGCTGTCAGTGTTTCATTCTTTATTGTCTTTTCATATCTAGACTTTCTGAGATGTTTTCACTGTATTTTAGAGCGGTGTCCTCTGCGCTTCATCCTTCAGTGTCCAGCGCCTCTGCAACAGCTAACTAAGCTCATGGAAATCAGCTGATGGAAATTATGCTCCTGAAATATGAACCTGCTCAC